CTCTCTCTCTCTCTCTCTCTCTCTCTCTCTCTCTCTCTCTCTCTCTCTCTCTCTCTCTCTCTCTCTCTCTCTCACGCGCACACACACACACACAAAAAGAAAAAGAAAAAAAAACAACGAAAAATAAAGCGATTCCGCACCTTTAACGTCCCACTGCCCCTTCCCCATACGCCCTTCCCCACCTCTCTCTCTCTCTCTCTCACACACAAAAAAAAGAAGGAACGAAAACGAAAAAAATAGTCATTCTGCCCACCTCTGATTTCCCCCAGCCCCCGCCCCCCCTTCCTCTCTCTCTCTCTCTCTCTCTCACACACACACACACACACACAAACGAAAAGAAAAAAAAAGAAAAAGAAAAAACAACAAAAAAGAAACGAAAAAAAAGCGATTCCACTGCCCCTTCCCCACCTCTCTCTCTCTCTGACACACACACACAAACATAAATTGTGGAAAAGAAAAAAGTGAAAAAAATTGAGCTATGTGGCACAGTTTCGCACCTTTAGCATTCCCCGTGCAACCCCCCGACTTTCCCCCTAACTTTTTCCCTCCTCCCTCATTTCCCTCCTCTGTACTTTCCTTCTTCGTCTCGTCCTTCCCCTTCCTCCTACTCCCCCTCGTCCTCTACCTTCATCTCTTTCTCCCTCCCTACCCTCCCTCCTTTTTGGCTTTCGCCTCCCCCTCTCTTCCTGCTGTTTCTTTTCCTCCTCATCCTCCTCCCCCTCGTTCCCATCGTCCTCGTCCTTCTTCCTCCATCCTTTCTTCCCCCACCCCCTCGTCTTCCGACCTTTTCCTTCTCCTCATCCTCCAGTACTCACTTTCTTGTGTTCGTCCACGTATTGTTGTCGTTGTCCCATTTTCACGTATTTTATGTATGTATTTGTTGCCTTCTCCCGCCTTACAAGTTCAACCTACGGTTCTCTATCCGTCATGCTCACTCGCACGCGCGCACACACACACTTCATGTGTTCATGGGAACCAACCCCCAAATGCGTGTGTGCTTGTGCGGACGGGCAGGCGGGCAGGGCCATGAGTGTGTGTTGTCAAGTTTGTGGAGTGCATGCATGCGAGCGTGTGCGTGTGGGTGTGTGCATGTGTGTTTGTGTGTTTGTGTGTTTGTGTGTTTGTGTGGGCTTGTGCAGACGGGCAGGGTCATGAGTCCGTGTTGTCAAGTTCCCTATACACCACGTCACTGCGCCGCCAAAGATAGAGCATCCGCTGCAGCCCTATACACCATGTCGCTGTGGCACCAAAGATAGGGCTGATCGTCACACCCGCTTTTCAACGGGTGCGACGATCCAGGCCGCCCACGGTCCTACCAGGCCGATGGCTAAGACTTTAAGATCGCGTGATGATCCAGGCCGTTCGGCACGGTCCGGATTTTCACACGATCTTGAAGTCGTAAAGTCTTAAGATCATGTGAAAAGCCGAACTGTCGGGCCGGTAGGACCAAGGGTGGCCCGGATCGACCAATTCTCCCGTTAGCAATTTCTACAAGTGTAGGGATAGGGACAGGAAACAGAAATACGCCCCTAGACGAGAACAATGAGGAGGGCGAGTACGTGGAACGAAGAGGTGGAGAAACTGGAACTAGGATGAGGGGAGGAAGAAGTATGGCAGTAGAGGAGGAAAACAGGTAGGAGGGGAACGGGCAGGGGGCACAGGAGAAGGAAGGCTAAAACGACAAAAGAGGAATGCCGGCAGGAGGAGGAGGGGAGGGGAGGGAGAGGAGGAGGAGGAAAGGTGAGAAAGATGGGGGCTGAGGCGGATTTTTCAAGCAATGCTGAATCGCAGCAGCAGACAGGAGCTGCAGCCGTTTCTTTCTTTTTCATACTTTTTTTCGCTGTGGCAGTTGATCTTCGTGTACTGTTGAACTGCAACAACAAGGTTGCCGCCTAAATGGCTGTAGCCAGCCAGGAAAGATGCCTGCCCTCTACTGTTTCTTTTGTCTGGCTTTGCTTTGCCTTTTCGCATGTCCGTTTGACAGTTGCAAGGTTTACAGTCTCGAGGTTTTGGAAGTTTCTTATGCTACACTTGGACACGATTCGAATCATGTCCCAGCAGTGCAGTCCCCAACGTGATGCGCACAGGAGGCACACGTTTTCCCCTGTAGCACTGCGCCAAACATGTGCAGTCCCAAGCCTGCTTACGCTCAGCAGGTTATGTCTGGATGTAGTGAAGGTGTTTTGGCAGGGCACGCATTCACAGGTGGAGTATGCCACACTATACTTTTCCTTAGGTCGCCACTGGCCCTGGTGATGCACAAACGACACCACCAACCCCAAGGAAATCCAGAAGGTCAGAAGGCGCACACACATATCAGGTTGGTTTGCACACACATGTCCAGGAGGACAAGACATCATTCCAACAGCATTGAGCGCTTCGGATGCAAGCCACCGTCGAGCAGTAAAAGCCTTTGAGGCGAGAACTCAACCATATTCTCACCTTGTCCGCTGATCCCGTTAACACAATGTCTTCCTTCCCCGCAAATTTGACACTTGTAACCTGCAGGGCACCCACGGAGGGAGGAAAGATGCCACCTGTGTCAACCCCGATTGGCACTATCAAACCCAACTACACCAACAAACTGACACACTGAGAATCACGACATATAACCAACTGGCTGAAGGATGAGGAGCCCTCCTCTGTGAGCGGGTTTCATTATGAGAAAAAAAAAAAAAAAACGGCACGATCAATGGGACAATCACCAACCAAAATAGGAAGCCAGGTTGCCAGCCTACTGGCTGGGCAGCTACCCAACCAAAACCATTCTAACTCGTTAGCTCGCCCGGACAGGGGTAGAAAGCGAATAAGTGAGACACCATGACCAAGGAGCACATGTATTCACGAATAATAAACAACTGGACTGTTTTGATGCACACTGCCGCATACTCACCCTCTTTGAATGTCCCGCAAGAGTTGCCCTGATCCTACCGGCGGCGTGATCGAAGACAACAGCATTTGAGTCGACACCTCCTGTCACTATCAAGTCCTGCAATACACAGCAAGCCGTGTGAACAAGAACGGAATCAGAACCTCGCCCTCCCCCTCAGACGTCTTTGCTTTATGTCCACCATAGTGGACAGTGAAGTGATGGGAAAACTTTGTGAGGCCAGAACAGTGGACGCGCATCTGTAGCATAAACATGAGAAATTTACACCTTTCCAAAGTACGAATATAGAGGGGGGTTACCATCTTTCTCATTGCTCCATAGCGAAGAGGACAGTTCAAAACGCTTCGTATCAAATGAACAGAGCAACAACCAGGAAGGTTCCAGAAAGAAACACTAAAGACCATTGACAGGGAGGTGGACGGAAAGATTGATGATTGCAAGTGAAACATGAAAGAAACAGAATGACTTGATAAGCCCTTGAGAGGGCCTGTGGGACACTGTACAGTGCTAGCAGAACTCAGCATGACCCATGACGAGCAGACGATGTGAGCCAAAAGAAGATTTGGGCTGATTTCCAGGGTCGTAGGATGCCTGACAGCCAAACAGTATGTTGAGGGCCAGTAAAGAAGAGGAAATTCTAAAACCAATACATAGACCAAGCCGGCATGAGGCTGCTTATGGTCATAATGTCATTGATACCTTCTGTGCGTAGATGTCGCAGCTCAGAATACCAGGCTTGCTCGTCTTATGCAGGGGATGGCTGGCCACTTGCGTGTAATACTCGATGGCTTCAACCGTTGCAAGTGTCGATGCCACCTGTTTCCATTTCCACAATTGAAAGCAGCAAATTTTGACGTCGGCCATTGAATCAAAACAAACAAGGGGAACAACCACACAGGTTGACAAAACAAAACCAATTCATTAGCCATGTACCCATCATGTCGTAATAAATTTTGAAATTGGCTTCTTTCACCTTAAAAGAGGACGTCACATAAAGAACATTCTGGCTGGCATTTGGTCCGGCAAACCAATTATACCTGATGAGAAAATCACAGCCAGAAAACTGAACAACGAGGAATGTCATTGCTCCTACTCTTTGTCTTCCTCAATAGCAAACATGGAATAACCCTTGCTTACAGATATTGTACTACTTAAACAGGGTTTGAACTCATGACCCTGCAGTCAATCTTTAGGTGAGTACAATAGGGTTACAATTGAACTAAGAGATTATTCCTCCTCCATAGTTCAGACATTTTCTCCTCTTCCAACTCATACTACTATTATGCCATCATGATTCTCATCATCGTAGTCAAGCTCATCCTTCCAGCATGTCAACAACAAAAACGCAGCAGTGTACTTAAACTGTAACAACTACTCGTGGGTAAACCAAGCCAGTGAGATTACCAGTGAGCTGGGATCTAAATGTTGAGAAATCAGACTCATCTTCTTCGTGAGATTTTCAGCTACCAGCAAACTACATATTCAAAAACCACACTCTTTATCATCTCGGGTTTTGTTGCAAGAACCCCACATCTGGGGGCATATGCGTGACTGGGGAGAGGGTTTGCAGGATACAAAACGCATTGAAACAAGCACGTTTGGAACATATACAAAAATGTTCCTGAATTAGAAAGCCAATAGGGTGGGAAGAATTGGTTTTCCCTTTTCCATTGAACTCGCCCTTTCTGCTGCCGACTGAGCCCAAGGGTTCAAGCTCAGTCAAACACTAACCTGGGCAATAACAGCTCAGCAGTGCGGGGTCCGAACCACTGTAGGCGCTAGGAAGACATGGAACTGACCTGCCTCTTCTTACGGATTTGCGATAGCCGAGTGTTGCAATCTGTAAGCTCCTGGATAACATCTGAGGTAATGCCTGCCTTGACCTTCTTTGCCGGCACTGGAACTTCATCTGGAATATCTTCTGGGGCTGCAGCCAAACACAGGAAGGCGTTGAAAGTCCCAGTCAGAGTGAGCTCAGGTCTGATAAAACTTTGAACATCAGTACAAATTTAGTACACAACCATTCTTAAGTTTCTTTTCACCGGTGAAGAGCATCAATCACCAAAGTGCAATATCATTTCACCCTCCCTTGCCCCCCAGCATCCTCTCTCTCTCTCTCTCTCTCTCTCTCTCTCTCTCTCTCTCTCTCTCTCTCTCTCTCTCTCTCTCTCTCTCTCTCTCTCGCACGCGCGTGCGCGCCGCCCCCCAACCTTCCCCCTCCCCCCCCGGCCTGTGTGTGTGTGTGTGTTATCAAGTATCACCACAAATTTCCCCTATTCCACCCAGATGAGTAGATCCAAAGTCATAGCAACTTTACCTGTATTCCAGACAATGAAGCATTCTCAAGATGAGCCAATCCACCAATGAAACAATTTTGCTTGTGAAGTCGTGTGTGTGTGTGTGTGTAGCCTGTGCAACACACCGCCTGACAGTGCAAAATGATTTTGCTCCTGGTAATGCTGAGCACTCTGGACCCTCGACACAAAATTGCTTGCGCTACAAGGCAGGAAATAAAATGGTGCTACGCAATGCAAACTTCTATTCCTTAGGGCACTTCCCAGGCAAGATGCCTCTGAAATGGCCATCGCCTGCCACGCTACCCACACAAACTGCACATGGGACCAACGTATTTCTCAGTGCCCAGAAGGTAGGACATAGGCAGGTTTACCGACGTCGGAACATTTCAGGGAGTGTGGTTGAAGTTGAACGTACTTTTAAGAATGGCAGCCACTGGCTTCCTAGAGACACGGCAAGATCGAAACTTGGAGAATAGGACACAACATACCAGAGCGCGCAAAACCATTTGCAAATGAACAGGTCTTCACTTATCGGTCTGCACCATAACTGCACCTTATGATTCTCGGCATGCCGCTTCCCATCCAAGGACAGGTGGAGTCGGGATAAGTTTCACATGAAGAACATGGAGAACAGAAGGCGGTGCTCCATATGGCACATCCAAGGGCAACACAAGGCAAGGGACCATACAGCATTTGCCACCATGCGTCCAAGGCGAAACATCAGGGTCATCAAACTGCTATGCAGTCCGAAAAGACAACAACAATTCTGACACGGTCAAAAGACTCAGGACTGAGATGACAGCAAGTTTGAAACATCGGGGGGAGGAATACCTCTGATCACCAGATGAAAACAAAATGAGGCAGCTGTGCTTGCCTCGTTCGGACTTTGCTGACATTGAAGCATCAATAAATAGTCCACGCTTACCTAACCCGCACCATTATGCTGAGGCCAGGATGGTGAATTCATCTGGCAAGTTTTATGAAGGTGCAGAACATTCTGGAATGCGGCAGCTGCTTTCTCTGGGGTCTCATCCCATAAGCAGCAATGAGAAGATGGTATAACAACAATACAAATTCATGCCTTGACTCTTAAGTAAACACATACTAATTCGATTGGGCTGGGAGAGCATACACATGAGAAGCTCGTCCTTCATTCAGAACACGCTCATATCATTAAAAGCACCAGGCAATCATTTTATTTTTTTTATCCTTGTGCAGGGGCCATGCTAAACTTCTGTATCATTTCAATTTTACCACCAGAAGAACTATTTCCTTCAAAACTACCAGTATGTTACCAAGCTATTCTGTTGTGACGCAGAGGTTAACACACAATGTCTTTACTTTAGGAGGTCGTCTCACAGAACGGGAAAAGGCTGGTGTCGGCAGAAGAATTGTGCACCGCGGCAGTTGAGCAGGGTTTTGGTGCAGAGCAAAAATCTGTGTCCGAATAGATAGGATTGGATGAGCTGGTGGTTTAATTGCTTTCAACGCTGCCAAGTAGAGGCAATGCCAAAGAGGTCACAGTGTAGAACACTGATACAACCATCAAACAAACAGTCCCAGTCTCAAACATACCTTCACAAACAAGTACTCCCCTGCAGACTTTTCGACCAAACTCCAGGGACGCTCCTGCATACCTTCATAAAAAGCAAACTTCTCCCAGTCTCAACAGGTGATCATTGGGAAGAGCAATATATGATTATTCCTCAGAATTGGATGAAGTTCTTCGCTCCAGCCCGCATGCTCAGCCTACACCCTTTTCAGCCTCAAAAGATTTATTTTTGTTTAATTTAAACCCTCTCTCGAAGTATGCATGCCATCCTTGCACAGGGCCCATGCTAATCTTCTCTATATTTTTTCTAATTTAAACGGATATCCAGAAGGATGGCTTAGAATGCAAGTACACTGCCCAGGCAAACTTGAGAATCGAAAATTAGTTCGTCCAGAAAAGTTCCATTGAGCAGTGCTACCGTCCCAAAATGGATGCAGGGGCCAGCCAAAAGGAAGGGAAGGGAGAAAGGGGAAGGGGGGGAGGGGAAAACTCATG